ATACAGAGAAAATTTGCATTTGCCCTGCCGGGATGACATGAATGAATCGTGTTCTTCCACTTCGTCTCTTCTTCTAGATGCTCTTCGGCCCTTCCCCCCCCACCCTCCTCTCTCTCTCTCTCTCTCTCTCTCTCTCTCTCTCTCTCTCTCACACACACACACACACACACACACACACACACACTTTTTTTCCCCACCGAACAAACGTGGACCGATATAGAGAAAATTAGAATGTACGCATGAATCATGTTTTTCCTCTTAATCCTCCTCTCCCCCCATCTCTCATGCGCGTGCGGACGCACGCGCGTTTTTTCGATGGACGTGCTATCGATCGAACGTTCTCCCTTCGCAACTTCCTCCTCCTCCTCTCTCTCTCTCTCTCTCTCTCTCTCTCTCTCTCTCTCACGCGCGCGCGCGCCTTCGCATTCATCGCCGAAACAACAGAAAACAAACATTAAAAGGCAGAAAATGAACAGAAAATAAAGCAAAACTGAGCACATGCACACACATACACGTGGAGGGTTAACTCACCTTCATTCATGGTGACCCCGTCGTCTTTAAGACTCTACACACTGAACAGCCCAATCATCAGCGTCTTCACTTCTCGATGCAGAGCCCAACCTCCAGCAAGATCTTCGCGACCACAAATCCGCACGAACCGCCCTCGAAAATGTATGGCTGTGATTATGTGATGAGTGCGCGCGCGTGTGTATGCGTGTCTGAGTTTATATGTCTGTGTGCTTGTTGCGTAGCGAGTCGAGTCCAGTAGAGTCCTCTCTCTCTCTCTCTCTCTCAGACACACACACACGTCCGAGTCCAGCGAAGGGTAGTAGACGGTCCGAGACTCCAGCGTGTAGCATAGAACGCAGAGCAGCGAGTCGAGAGTCAAGCGTCTCTCTCTAACACACACACGTCCGGGTCGTGCGACAGTCCAGCGTAGAATCCAGTGCAAACTAGCGAGCAGAGAGGGAAGAGTAAGTGGCGTGGCCTGTCGAGAGTCCACGGTCGAGTAGCACCGGGGCAAGGTCCCATTCACACAAATTAAGCGATATTGACCGTAGATAGCAAAGATCGACGGCCAGAATCTCTTAATCCGTGCAAGTGGGACCTTGCCCCCGGACAGAATCAAGTCCAGTCGTAGACTGGACTGGAATGGCACGTCTAGACGACAATTCAGCCACGGCGTGATGGGGGGCGGCCAGATGGGGCAGTTATGGCCCGCGCGGCCCTCCCGAATTTGAAGGTTGCTACGCGTGGCCGAGGGCGCCCGATACCTGCGCGGTGTACAAGACCCGATATTGGACAGGCGCCGCACCACCAAAATTTGCCTACCGTCTTCACCCGAAAATAACGCCCGGGCGTTGTATACGAACATAACGCCCGGGCGTTGTAATCAATAAATTGGTGGCAATCAATGAATTGATTGTAGAATCATAATAAAATATAAAAATCAGATAGGTTGCAATAAATAACTATAAAAATAAATACAACAATTAATTAGTATTTAGTTTATAGGTTAATAAAAGTACATAAGTATATATATATATATATATATATAAGTATATATTGTGAAATTATGATTCTCTCTCCGTAACGACGGACTGTCTAGCTGTGGGGCGTAACCCCGCGATACGCCCACAGTAGTATAGAAGCACCGCCATCTAGTCGTTGAAGTAGGTCATAGCTATCGGTAGGGTTTTCAGCTATGGAGGTTGTTAGCGTAGACAGTAGGAAGGGCCTTGCGAAGTTACATTTATTCCCTCTGCTCCGTTGAAATTGCTGGTGTTATAGCCTGTTTAATCTCCCCTTTACCTTTCTGAAACTCGAGTTTCTCCTATATCTTTCGTCCAATAAGGTAGATAACTGTGTGAAGGCAATTGACTTACCGTGAGGGCACGGGTGTGCAGCCCGTAGTTTGTTTGTTGATGTGGTTCGGAAAGGATAAGGTAGTGATTATGTTGTATGTATGTTTTGTCATGTTCGCTATGCACAACTCGAAGAGAGCGTGTGTGTGGGGTCCGGGTTGGTGCTTTCTTCACGATGTTCATGGGACGTTGAACCCAGTTTCCAGCAGGTGGCGCTCCCCATCAATAGACAGGAGAATGTGAGTGTGTGTATATGTGAGAGAGAGTGTATGTGTGTGTGTGTGTGTGTGTGTGTGTGTGTGTGTGTGTGTGTGTGTGTGTGTGTGTGTGT